TAAGAACTTAATTTGGACAACTTTAAAGATGATTTTCTCAATATTTAGATTTTTTTTTGCACCCTCAGATTCCAGATTTTCAAATAGTTGTATCTCAGCCAAATATTCTATCCTAACAAACCATACATCAATGGAAAGATTATGTATTCAGCTTTAAGCTGATGTATAAATCTCAATTTAAAAAAATTGACCCTTATGACTGGTTTTGTGGTCCAGAGTCACATTTATGTTCAATTTCAGTTTTATTTTTGTTTTTATTTCTTTCCAGTTAAACTTATTTTAATTAGGTTTTTTTTTGTTTAAGTTTAATGTTTAGTTTTTCCATCTCATATTTTATTTTATTTCAGCTTTATTTCAATTTAACAAAAATGTTTTTAATAGTTTTCATTTTAGTTAATGTTAATACCCGTTTTTCACCACATACATTTTCCTGAAGTGCTGTGTTTAAGGCTATAATATATGAAGTCACAGTTTGACCATTTTACTAATCATAAATAACGACTCTTTCTTTCAGCAAAAACACTCTTTTCACTTTAAACTTTTGCATTGGTTTTCCTTTGTATTTCGGCACTGCGGTTAGTTGCTCCTGTAGGGTAAATGGCTTTTTTTCCTCATTGTAAGATGTTTTGCATACAAATGCATGCTAAATAATGAAATGTAAATGCACTACTATGCATTTAAAGCACTGTATGTACTTTGCTGGTAAAAGACTCTATGCCAGTATTAAGACATCTGTGTTTGTGTTCAACTGCATACTGTGAATTGCATACTACATACTGCAGTTTTGACACATAGTACACTGCATACTGCAAATGCTGACAAATGCAATAGGTTATTTAGATATTCCATGCATACAGAAAATTCTAATCGTATGTATTTCTTATGCATACTGCAGAAATGGTAGTATGTCCTCCTATGGGACACACTAGTGCCAGATAGTACAGCTAGCAGCATGCATGTTTGAATGCAGTGTTGTGTGCAAGTCTCACATGCTGTGGTGGAGAAGGCTGCCGGTCGAGGTCCGCTGGGGTTGACGGAGGGTAGAGGGGGCATGACGGAGACGGTTGGTCTGGAATGAGTCTTTCCATCCACTGGGGAACCTGGCATGGCAGGAACGTTCTTCTCTGCGCTGTCTGAAAACCAGAGAGATTGAGCTGGAGACTGACAGATCACTTATTTTCATTGTAATTGCGAACGTTTCTCATGAGGAGATTTCCATTAAAACCCAATAAAGTGCTGCAGATTTGTGGCAGCAGAACATCTCTGATCTCATAAAATCACCATGCAATTATTTCTTAACCGCATTCATCTTGCATCTGCATCCAAAACATTCCCAGAAGCACCAGTGCAAACGATGCAAACACAAATGTAGTCATTGTGTCTCAATGCATTGATATGCACTTCATGTTTAACGACACCTCCAATCCAACTGAGCCCAAACCTCTAAAAGCGGCATGCATTTCCAAGCCTGAGCTCCCTAACTAAACCCATCATCCTTTCTGCTGCACACCAGATGTTTTCTGCCCCTGTTTAAGAGCCGTGGAGTCCCGACAGCTGAAGTGCAAATGAACCAGGTTTTGTCCTCGGGAAAGAAAGGGTGATCATTGAGCCCGCTTAAGAATGGCGAATCGGGCCATTTCACGCTCGCTAACTAGGCTTCACAAAAGCCGTCAAGGGCTAAACGCATACTTTCTGCCTGTGAATGGACCACCAGGCCCAAAAGTTGTAGATCAGAGGCGCTATTGTTCTACAAGAGCCGTGAGAGAAGCTATCGGCCTCATTTGGAGTATATCAGACCGCTGGAAATGCTTTTACAAAGGCGGCTAATAGACCCACACAGATCGAGTTGTCAAAGGTCATGAAACGCTTCTTACCAGACGACTTTTCATAGACAGACAGCGCTTCTCTGGGTGAAAGGCGTGTTTTGTTTAATGTTTATTCATGGGAAACTAATGCAGTGAATGCGTTTATCGTTGTATAGTTTTAAAATGGGCCTCTCCATTTAACAATGAAAAGTAAGGCGGCTTTTAATGGGATTGTTATAGCGCTTCATTTTTACGTTTCATTCCAGTCGCGATAAACAGACGAGTTCGTCACAGAGCAGAAAACTTGAGTGAATTGAAATATGACATTTTGCAAGTTTTAGTTAATATGTTGCTATTACTTTGTTTATACAATTTCGATTATTTCTCTATTTGTTTATGATTTTGAGTTGTGTGCAAGGGTTGTTATAGTTAACTATCAACATTACTTAAAATAAAATCAACTTTTAAAATTTAAACTTATTTTTTTTCAGCTAGTTGCAAAGGCAACATTTCTCATTTTCCTTTAGCTTTAACTTGAAGTACTAAAATAAATAAACCAAAACTAATAAAAAAAACTATATAGACATATTTTTTTTTAAAAAGCAAAAACTAACAACAATTATTAAAACTTTAACCAAAATGAAAGTGAAAACATCTAAAAAATAAAATCTAATTCAAATAAATATTAACAAAATCTATGACAGTATATCAATGATACTAAAATAACACTGCTGTGCACTGAATTAAATAAAAAAAAATCACAAAAATATAATAAGACAAATCATGTTTCTATGGAGGACAAAACCTGCAGTATAATATATAAAAACAAACAAACAAATAGGAACATATTTATTTTCCTATTATTGCATTTATTTATTTATTACATATTTATGCAAGTTTGGTCCTCCATATATTTCAAATCATTGTTTGAAGGACAAATGTGACCCTGGAGCACAAAACCAGTCATAAGGGTCAATTTTTTTTAAATTGAGATATATACATCATCTGAAAGCTAAATAAATAAGCTTTCCATTGATGTATGGTTTGTTAGGATAGGACAATATTTGGCTGAGATACAACTATTTGAAAAT